TTGTTTATTAAGATCTATGGAGCGACTGGAGCTATATTTCGTTAACCAACCCTAAAACAATAAAAAAAATAGACAAAAAATACTTTTTGGAAGGCCCAACTGCCAATTGGGAACAAAGCAAACGAAGTGGGGTTGAATTTTTGGTACCTGAACGTGTTCCTTTGGCATTAAATGTTTTTGAGAGGTACAAAATACGTTGTTATGTTGCTAAAGGCTTTTAAACGTATGTGATAAAGTTTTTTTACTGCTTGTTACTGTTCTTAAAATAATTCAAGTTTTCTAGCTCTCTTCCTTTGTCAGAATCAGATACCCTTATGAGAGTCCACACATAGTCGGCCAACATATTCTCATTCCAAACACCTTGATAACGTTGTTCCATAGCTTTTAATTGTTGATGAAATCTCTCTCCGTGTTCATCACTAACGTCGCCTAGGTTTGTCGGAAAAAAGTCCAAGTGGGAGTGCAGGAAATGGACTTGTAGTGACATATTTTCCCCGTGTTTTTTATACTTCTTAATTAGCTCTTGGACGATATTAACATAATCATCAGACTTGCTGTTTCCAAGAAAGTTTGTTGGAATGAGTTAGTAGTGTTCGACTTGGGGACCATCAAATACTCCTTCTTTCACTTTTGCCAGCGATAGACATGGAAAAACAGTTTTTCGGAACTCATTGATTAACCTTCTTATCCACTGCTTTAACACAATTTTTTATTAGTCCCAGCTTAATATGTAATGGTGGTAAATGGTGGTATAACATCTTCAAACTTGACGAGAGCTGCATTTTGTATGTTGTAATTTTCCAATGTATTTTCCTCCTGTCTTCGCCAGAGTTTCCTTGAGTAATGCTCAGTTCTAGCTCTACCATCCCATATGCACAGGAAGCAGCAGTATTTTGTGTAACCACATTGCAATCCCGTTAACATGGTTACGACTTTTAGGTCACACGCGATTTTCCACTGGTGTTCTTTATATTTTATATTTTCAAACAATTTAGCCATTGCTTTATATGTTTCCTTCATATTAACAGCATGGGCGATGCCAGTCTGAAAAGCTTATTGATGCATCTATAAATTTGACCCATACAATTTGTGATTTCAGCTTACCGTTTGGGAAATGGCAAAGTGGCAAAATGGCAGAGTGAGAATGGCAAAGTTCATTATAACCCAATGTAAGTTATGTAAAAAACTAGGTGCTACATCTAAAAAAATCTTTAAAAAAAATAACAGATTTCCAAAACTTGTCAAAAAAAGTTCTGCCATAGAAAAAACATAATTTTTTTTTAATTTTAAAGTCTTAAATCTATCAGAAAAAGTCGGTTTGGTTCCTTGAGGAAAAAAAGTTCGATTTTGTAGAGTAGTGTATATCACCATTCATTTTTAAATTGGGAAATTATATTATAATTATACAGGGGTGCCACAGCAATCACTTCCGCTGGAAAATCACCTCAATTCCATTCCGCCGTGCCACACACCGACTTTTCAGCGGAACCAAAATCGCTCACAATTTATCCAGCGATTTAATAAAATACACCCATAAAACACACCTAAAACTATTCGAATCTTACTTTCCCCATAAAGGTTGTTCAATTGGTGGTTAACCCTCATCCAAATAATTTAACATTGCACATGTTGAGTTAATAAAATAAACATTTTAGTAAATCACTATTCAATCCGCTGACTGAATTTTCACTTAACGATTCCGCTCTCAATCCGCTGCAGAGCGAGGTGGCCACCTAGGGCGATTCGGACTTTCGAAGTTAATACAGTAATGCCACCTTTTTTAAGTCGAATTCGGAGCAATATATTTAATATTAATTGTATTGAAAGCATTCTGTTTTTCTTTAATTAAGCATTACAAAAAATAGCTCATTGTAGTAAAACTTCTTTACATCAAACTTCTTGTGCAAATTGTGAAAACATTTGAGTCATTTGTAGTTCTACCAGGTGGCATTGCTTCAAAATGCCAAAACAGAACTAACAAACCATTATTGCCATTGCATTTATGTCAAAAACGCCTGATCGGCTAATTGCAGACCCATGGCATCACAAAAAGAATCGCTATGCTTCTATTTGTGCTGCCATGGGTCTGCAATTATACCAAAAACTGGTAATTGTAATGAACTAAATTAGCAGTAGTTTGAGAAGACAATCACAAAAACCACATACGTGACGTCTGAACGTGAAAACGAGTCCGATGCGCATCTGAGAAGCCTGCGCTGCAAGGTTTGTATTCTAATATGTTGCCTCCGTAGTTCTTCGATGGCCAACATTCTCGGTAAAAGCATTTTAATTAAGTTTACCGTAAAATGCAGATGTGTGTTTGTTTTGAGCAGCTGATTGCTGCCGTTCACGGAGAGTTGCCAGACAACTGTTAGAGTTTCCGAGTACATTGTTTTGTTTGACTCGCTCGATATGGGATGTTTTTTTGCTTTGAAATTATAAAAGTACAGCTTTGAAAAATCAATTATTTTATATCATAAAAGGAAATAAATTTAAAAACCAATTGTTTTGATATGATAAAATCAATAAAACTGTAAAATAAACCCTATTCGAATTGAATCTTGAAAGGTGTCAACCCTAGCCTTAGTTCGAATTTGGTTTGTGAAAATGCTAAGAAAAATGAAATCGCTCGGAATTCTGTGCCACGGCGGAAATTTTTAAGCGGAAATCCTCTGCGCGGTTTGCCATTTCACTAGTGATTTCTGTGGCACCCCTGATAATTATAATCTCAATATCTGAAGAACAATGAATTCAATTTAAGTAAAGGATATTATGATTAATTAATGATATAAATAACCTAACCAATAAAACGAAGAGTATGTGATTAAGAGCGAAAGCTATTTAAGACGCCTTCTTCATTCTCATAGCCTCTATGAATATGAGGTTATGCTTTCATTAAAGCTGCTCGTTGACATACTTAAATTACAGCTTCAGTTATTGTTATCCATGTTACATTTTTGAGTTTTATGGGCCCTGAAAACATCCCGGATTCTTGATGGTGGAGTCAGCTGGAGATTAAAACAGAGCATGTTAAATATCGATCTTAAATTTTCTCCGTCCACGTAGGGAACCCCGTGTAAACGCAGTTTGCTCGCGCTAGCTGCCATGTGTTCGGCCGTCTGTCTCGCTTTATGCCTCACACTCTCTCTCCCAGTGCGCGCAAATCCGCAACCTCCTGGTCCAGCTTTTTTACCCGCTCACCCAGTCAGTCTCTCTGAGAGCGAAGATCAACCACCTCCTGCTCCAAGTTTATAACTCGGGCACCTATATGCTTGACCTCACCAGCGATCGAGTCCAAGCCATATGGCTGTTGAGGATGCGCTGCTCTGCTTCCCGGACATGGGATGCAATTTGTTTGCAACAAACACACAGTGCAATAAAGTTTATATGCTATTTTCTTGCTTTGTAGCTGATATTTTGCAGCTTAAAGACTGCCACAGAATAAATTAATTCTAATGTAACTTTGACTGATTCATTTGTAAATTGATTATTTTGGGTGCTATTACGTTAATTAAAGTTACTTAAAAAGCGTAGTGAATAGAAGCACGTGCGTTCGCTGTTCGAAGCTGACCAAGCTAACGGTAAAATGTGATTTTCGGAGGATTGGCCAAACAAGTTTAGCTCAGCCGCTCATACAAAGATTTTTATATGCGATACCTTAAACAACGCGTAATTAATACACCTATATAAAGACAGAGGATATAATTTTAGTCAACTTTTTCTGAGTTTCTGAAGTAAACATATTGAAAATAATAACGCTCAAAAACTAACAATTTAGAATTAATATTATGATGCTATGATATCCAGGACAGATCTTACTGAGGCTATAGCATTATTTCTGCGACCAAATCACCCCACCGAAGCGGACTTTGAAATATCTTCTGGAAGTTGCAAAAAGGTTATAAACAGAACTTAGGAATTTTTAAGGGAGTCCAAAAAGTAACGTTGTATCGAGCATGCATAAATAACTGAAATACGGAATATTTTGATTGATATTTGGCAGGAGAGTATTGAGGATTTGCAGGGTCCTCGGAAGAAATCCCATTTTCATATGTATATGGCGCAGTCCATGAAGGCGGCTGGAATCGAACATATCATTCATGTACAAGCTAACACTCGGTAGCGGAGGTGAGCAATTGGCCACTGGGTTCTTGCGATTGGGCAAGAACTTATTCAGCTGACTAAGGCCAGTAACTTCGTCGCCACCGAGAGACGAGGAAGCTTTAGGACTTAGCTTAATCTTCTTGATTTTAAATGTTTTTGTCTTAACAGATCATTAATCGAAACAGCATTGAATAAATTAATAAGCTTCGACCACAGCCGTAAATAACTTTGTATCTTACTGTTAAGCTGATCGGCCAACAACATAAATATGATCGTAAAAGTGCGAGCATCACACCTCAGTACTGGAAAGCTCTCCATATTACGTCCCTCCTTCTTCGTGGTATCTCCAAGCCACCACATGAGCACTTGCTATTACTTACATATCTACGCCTCATCGAATTCATTAATTTTTGACTCATTAATTCATTTGTAACAACACTATTAACTTTTGCGACATGTTATGTTGCTGTTGAACGTATCCGCTGTCGTTCCAAATTATAATTATAATTATAATCCAGCTGGTTTTCTATGGTGGATGGGGGAGGGTGCCAGTGTGAACAGGAGTTTCATAATTGTCACAATTTCCCAACGTTTCATCAAGATGGGCTTACTGTGAAGAGCCTATTAAACTTTAAATGCATGCTCTGTAATAATAATAATCCTGTATCGAAGTGAGGTTCTCATTTAGCAAAACCTCAGTCAGTTGTTCGCTTTAAAGCTTACGAGAACGAACGAAAAGTTGTACAGTCGTAGTTGCAATTATTCCTAAAGTCATGAGCACGGCTGTATATAGTTAAAATAATCGTGGGTACTCTCAATAGTGTTACTCTTTCACCATTCCAAAATTGAGTTAATCTATATATGTTTATCGATAGGCAATTTAAATCGACGCCTCAAAGATGTCTAACCACTTTGCAATTCATATATATTCTTTTTAACGTTTACGAAGAAAACTGAACAAAATATCTTCGAGTTGGAAAATATATTTTAGTATTATAATATCTTTTGTCTGTAGCTTTCATAAAGGTTGCAGAATGAAGCGTTTGCAATTTTAAATGGATGAGCATGTCTGTAAATAGGCCCCAGCACTGTGATCTTAAACATAAATCTAACTGCTGTAATCAACTCGGAAATATAAAAATAAAAGAACGTTTGGATCACACAGAAAGTGATGCGACGCATCCAATTTTACGCGTTGATTACAGCCTACAAGGCCAGCTGGTTCAGTGCTTGACGTGCTGTGAGAAATTTAAGTACAACACTTTTAGTGACATTTGTTCACATTACACGTTTTACCACAGTCAGAATCAAGGAGGTTGTGCCAAGTGTTTATACTGCTTACGCGACGTCCATTATTATTTACGTGCCGAGAAAGTGCATCCAGAAGCCTTTCACTATTGTTCACCCCGGAAGCAAAATTAAATGACATAAGTCGCTAGAATGGCGAATTCAATCAGTGAGCATGTAGAAAACTTGTTAGATTCTGATCAAAATTTTGAAGAATCAGAAGAGTCTGAATATTCGGATAACTATGAAGTCCAAAGCACAACTACAACAGTGGGTCAAGCAGGCGTTTCAGATTTAAACGATACTGGCGCTGTGAATGCAAGCATCAATGCTTCTTCAGACCATTACCTATTATCTTTGGCAATAAAATGTAAAACAGGCAAGGAATCTTTATCAGATAATACGGAACAGCATCTGAAGGAAACTCAAATAAAATCTGCCAACAATAATGGTTCTGGACATCCGAATTACGGATTTGGAAAGCGGTGGTCAAAATCGGAAGATGTTTTGCTCAAAGCGTTAGTTGAGCAACATGGCGAACGTTGGGAGATTATTGGGCCACACTTTAAAGACCGACTTGAGCAGCAGGTGCAGCAACGTTGGGCCAAGGTCTTGAATCCAGAACTAATTAAAGGGCCATGGACACGTGACGAAGACGAAAAGGTTATTGAGCTCGTGCGAAGTTTCGGACCCAAAAAATGGACTTTGATTGCTCGATATCTAAATGGACGAATTGGCAAGCAATGTCGAGAACGATGGCACAATCATCTTAATCCGAATATAAAGAAAACAGCTTGGACTGAAGAGGAAGATACGATTATTTATCAAGCTCACATTCAACTAGGAAACCAATGGGCCAAAATTGCAAAACTTCTGCCTGGACGCACTGATAATGCAATAAAAAATCACTGGAACTCGACAATGCGACGTAAATATGATGCCCAGCGCAGATCGGTTAATGCTACTGGAAGTGATTTAAAAAGCTCTCGAACACATCTAATTACATTAATCAAATCTGGTGGTATCAGTAAAATGCAATCTCAATTGCTACATAACAGACTTTCACCAAAAATAGAAAATAAATCTCAATCTATAGATAATGGAATCATGTGTAACAGAAATAGAACAGCTGAGCTTAGCGAGATGGTGGATTCTGCTGGAACTGAGCCGCTTATTCGCTACTCAGCTATTAACATGCAACATCCAGTTGGTAAATGTCTAACAATTCCCCTACAGCGACAAACACCGAATATCTTGAAACGGTCTCGTAAACACATTCCCGAATCGAATATACTAGCTGGTCCATTGATTGATTTTTCCTTTGATGAAGACAAGCCTAGACAGCCGGATTCACCCGTTATAACTCCCATAAAAGCATTACCGTTCTCCCCCAGCCGATTTCTCAAATCTCCATGTCTAACAACATTTGAAGACATGAATTTGCGCGCAAGCACGCCTGTCATTAAGGTATACAATGCTTTGGGAATAGAGGTCAAGAAAGAATTGGAAACAGGCTCTATTGAAACGCCACATAAGAGTGAGTAAATCGACCAAATGTATGCAGTTCAATGAAATAGCTTAACGTTTTCGTCTTTTCTTTGTAAATTTAAGGTAAAATAGGCCCACGAACACCCACTCCGTTTAAAAATGCTCTTGCTGAAATTGGCAAGAAACGTGATGGTCGACGATACGAGCCGTCTAGCCCGTCTAGCCTTGCCGAAGACCTGGCAGAAATAATTCATGAAGAACAACTAAACGATTCAGAAATTGTACAAACTGTGCAAAACAACAAAAGAGTTAGTGGTGGCAATATAAAAAAAAATGTACAAAATAGTTCGCCTAGTATTGAAACCGAAAAAGTAAGGGCAACACAGTCACCACCTCCAAAACGTGCAAGGAAATCTTTACTTTCCACGTGGACCGCCAACCATCTGCCAAATGGTGGATTTACTAAAAAGATCCAACCGTTCGAAACTGAGACGCCTAGCAAATTCCTTACATCTCCAAGTAGTATTATGAAGGATACGCTTTGTAGTGAACAAGATCTTCCTTTCGATGAAGGCAGGAAGGAGAACAGACCATACATCAGTCGTAGTAAATATAAGACCTCTGGTCTGTCATCGTATGATCATATCATCGATCCAAAATGGGCTCGAGTAGCGTGTGGCAAAACCAAAGATCAACTATTTATGGAGGAACAAGCGTACGCATGTCTTAAAAATCTTTCGTGTGTCCCACGCTCACTTAACTTTGAAAAACAAAAGTGAATCACAAATCTAATGAATCAGTTCAATTTTTTTTTTATATTAAGGGAATAAGATTTATAAATAGTGTATCGTGAAAAGGGTTGCGCTAAAATATTTATTTAAGGGCGCCTGTATTTCAAAATTCTTTTTATTGATAGCAAAGTAATTTTCCTTTGTTTTCTAAAATTAATTTCGCACTATTAAAATAAATTTTTTGAATATTTCTTAATAAACTAAAATTAAAGTGAAATAAATTTTGTTCATGCATCACAATAGCTGCAGCAAGAAGAACATTTATTATTTAAATAATGGTAAGAGAACTACATTCGACGGACTGTAAATATTGATGATGAACACATACAGTTGTGTTCAATGAAATAGTAGTGCCGCACCTCATCACTTTCAAAACTCTCTGAGACACTTCCAGATATCCAAATTTAACAAATTATACCTTTTTAAATAGAACGGACTGTTAGCAATAGAAAACCGAAGGAATATCCATACATTTGAGTTCCATCTTCTTGTTTTACATGACATAAGCCGAATACCCATGAAATATGCTGTTCAATGAAATAGTAGTGTTTTTTTAGAACATTGAAAAAAACAACGAAACTCAAATAAAAACATATATTTCATGTTCTTCATGTTTCTTGAGCTTTAATATTTAGTTTTTAATCAATTTGGTTTTCATTGCGAACTTGCACCGGCCGGATATGGGTCATTGATCTCTTGCCAACGCTTCAATAGGATTTGAGTCAATAATCCATGAACCACTTGATAAAACTTGGCTCTGGTTCACGGATTTGCAGTGTCAACAATGTATTTGGTATTCCAGCATAAGATTTCGATGAGATTTATATCCAGTTGGACAGTTGGCCATGAAAAAACGTCGATCTTTTCCGATAAAAATCAATTCCTAGCGAGCTTTTCTGGGTATTTTAAGTCGTTATCCTGTTAAAAGATCCTTTTAACATGAATTTTTCAACTGTAATATGAATGTAATGTATTCTAAAGTATGCCTAAATACACAGTTTCGCTCAAAACCATAATATACTCAAACGCCAGGCTAGAAAGTACTAGCTTATATGAGCTGGGCCCCATAGGGCTCAGCCTAGCTTGCCCAATGCTATATTTTTCATGATTTTAGGTGGTAATCGGATTTATGTTTGTGGATGCCAAACATAATCTTTTGAGTTTTTCTTACCATATAATACAACTCTACTATCATCAGTTAAAAGCATTTTTGTCACTGTGAACACAGGCCAGACCACATGCGTTTTTCCAAACTGAAGTCGTTCACCTATGTACTATGTATCCAAACGCGGAGCTTTCTGGGACTTCTTGCATTCAAATAATGTATAAAAGACCGTCTAAGAACTGTCACATCATTGACAGAGCGATTTAAAGTTGTTTTCATAATTTTTGAGGATATTAAAGGCCTGGTCTTGCCTTCGACCATCGCCGACCATCCTCTAAAAAATAAGTTTTTCGCATACAAAATCGATTTCCAGTCTACTTCTTTTAGTTAATTGGGTTAAATACAATAGTGAGAGTGCCTACAACTTAGTTTTCAATCCCATTATGCCTCCTGCCTTAAGTTTTTAGTCTAACTCTTAGGTCTCCTCTTCTGGACCGAGCAATGATTTCTTCAACGCCTCAAAATCAAAAGTACCGCTATGTCCAAAACTTTCTTTCATCAAATTATTCAATAACCAAATTGAGCTTACGGGTGGTGACTTATTTAAATTAATTTACTTTGTTTTTTAATTTTTAAAAATTAATTTAACCCAGCACTACTATTTCATTGAACAGCAGATATCATGGGTAGTTGTCTAAAGTCATAAATAACAAGAAGATAGAATGAAAATGTAATGGGGTTTCTTCAAGTTTCTAATGCTTACATTCCAGGCTTTCCGTAAAGGTATCACTTTTTAATTTGAAAGACTAGAAATATCTCAAAAAGGGTTTTGAAAGTAATGAGGTGCGGCACTACTATTTCATTGAACACAACTGTATATATTTCAAAGAGGCTACGGTCATGGATCAAAAATCCTGTGAAAGTTGGTACTATTTTCTTTTAAACCTTTTATTTTTTGTGGACATCCGTGCTGAAGATTAAGTAAAAGTTATTAAAGTGCCCAAAACGTTGCGCAAGCAACGTTCCAAACGGTAAAATGTGATTTTCGTAGGGTTGGTCAACCAGTTTTGGCTCAACCGTTTCTCCATAGATGTTGATGATACTTGTAACGACGCAATGCACTTATATCCAAAAAATATAGACAAAAGATATTATTTTATTTCGACTTTTCCCAAGTTTTTAAAGTACAAATTTTGAAAAAATACCGCATAAAAATCATAATATTTGCATTTCAAAGCTTAATATTTCGCAGACCGTAAGCTGTAACGCATTAGTGTTTTTATCTAAATATACATTTTTTTTTTAATTCTCTAAAAAAACTCGGCCGTAGAAAAAAAAATGAGAAGGAACGTTTGAGTCGCTTCTTTGGACGCGACTCTACTTTTATACCCGTACTCAGTCAGTATATAAATTTGTGAGCTTATGATTTATGTAGAATTTTAAAATATTTTACATTTAATATTGTTTTGCTACATCTCACATCTACATCTAAAATGTTTGTTCTACATCTGAAATGTAGATTATACATACAATACATACAATATAGATTCTACATAACCTTTGCGAACGGTCGCGCACTGCACAGGGCAGAGTGAGTGAGTGATCTGCAGCTTAAGACGGACGCGTGCCGCCGTCGGTCCGTTTCCGCGTGGAGTCCCGGGGCGCATCGGAAGCTGACGGGGGTGCATTGTGGACTGGTCGGTCGCGGAGCAGCTCAGGCTGCCTGGGCTGGTCGGGGACCACGCTGAAGCTTCCTCCAAACCAAGCTTTTGGCGTTTTATTCAGCCACGGCTATAGCGGCAGCCATTGAGTGAAACCTGTGGCTGCAACTCAGAGTGAACAGTAAATCACTTAAGTGTGGAAGGAAAATTCACTAACCCAGCGATCGCGCTCCCCAGCGCTCTGGACCGTCTGCCTGTCGGTCTGGCCCGTGGAATACAGGTTGCAGTCCAAGGATACCGCCGAGCACGCATGGTAAAGACTCCTTTGTGGGGAAACTTCTTCGTTTGGGTGGAGTCCCACTCAAACGCACACATATGGCCGCACCCACGTAGCTCCCGGGGAGAGTTCTTCTATCCTCTCTTCGACTCAAGATGGTTGGCGACGGAGTTGCCGAGCTTAGCAGCGGAGTTGCCAGCACGGTGCGTATGCGCAAATCGGAATTTTAAAATCTAATTGGCCTACTGGCTAAAAAACTAAGGCGAGCACGGCAACACGTCTTTGCGTTCCTATAACCTTTTTATACCCGTACTCAAAAAAGAGTTAAGGGGTATATTAGATTTGTGGTAAAAGTGGATGTGTGTAACGCAGAGAAGGAAACGTTTCCGACCCCATAAAGTATATTTATTCTTGATCAGCATCAATAGCCGAGTCGATATAGCCATGTCTGTCTGTCCGTCTGTCTGTCTGTCCGTCTTGTTGAGCGCCTAGATCTCAGAGACTATAAGAGCTAGGGCAACCAAATTTGGTTTCCAGACTCATGTGATATCAAACTGCTACAAGTGTATTTCAAAATTTCGCCCCGCCCCCTTCCGCCCACACAAAGGACGAAAATCTGTGGCAGGCACATTTTTAAAGATACGATAAAACTAAAAATGCAGTATCGTAGAGAATGACCATATCTACTAGACTGGCGAGTCTGAATCAGATCGGATCAAAATTATAGCCAGAATGAAGAAATTAATTTTCAGTTGCTTCCCCTTCCCCCTCCTTCCAACGACAACGCAACTCATTTTCCTTCTCGCTCGCACACTCTGCCGCGTTCAGTGCGCGAGCAACCCCTAGCGGAGGAGATGTAGAATATGAATGGAACATGTACAATCTACATGTTAGATGTAGAATAGACATTGTATATGTAGATGTAGATAGCAGATGTAGCAAAAAAATGTAAAATGTAAAATTTTTTTTTTTTTCTAAAATTCTAAAAAATCATAAGCTCAATAATGTATATACTGACTGAGTACGGGTATAAGTAGAGTCGTGTCCCCAGAAACGACTAACACGTTCCTTCTCGTTTTAGTTAGTGCGGAGCAGTAACCAGGGCTCCTGCACAATTGGCGATACTAACCCCAGATTATGCAGCGTAGAAGTTGTCCGTCGCCAGATGGCGCTGCCATGTAGTTACGGCAGGGACACCAACCACCGACAGAGGGCGCAGCACCATAGGGCTCAGCCTTCACTAGCTACCGGCAGATAGCGCTAAGTCTTCTATCCTAGAAGTAGGCTACGGTCCCCGTGAACTTCTAGATACTATCGGCGCACCCTGGGGCCAGCTGGTACACAACGGGTCGTGGAACTGACTCCCTGCCAACCCCACCGCTACGGCGGCGTACCCGTGAACGGGGCCCTGGCGACCGAGAAGGGGCGGTATAACTCCCATCGACAAACGTCGGGAAGAAATTCCCTGCCTTCGCTGGAAGCCCCAGTGAGCCAATTATATTATAGTGGACCCATTAGCGCAGCAGGCCCTGATGGACGTACGACTAACTGGAACCCCCCTTATGTGCATTGGACTTTGGGATGACGGTGTCGGCATTCTACGACCTGAATAGGCGGGCTGAACCCCTGCTGAAATGGCTCGTAGGTTAAGGTCCCCACCGCCCACGTCTTGTTAAAACCCCGGCTGGCCTCGAGTAACGCTTCCTGGTCGTCCCACTTAGGTGGATGCTGCTATAGATGTCTGGAGCTCGGACACGTAGCAATCAGATGCAAGAGCGCGGTGGATCGTACCGGATGCTGACTCAGGTGCGGCGCAAACGGTCACAAAGCCGCAAACTGCCAGAGCGATCTTCGTTGCTTCATCTGCACTCCTAACAAGAGCAAGGAAACGGATCACTACGCGGGTAGCAAGCGATGCCCAGCATCCAAAGGTGGGTCCAGCTTGCCGCCCCAATGATGAAGTTGTTACAGCTCAACCTCAATCACTGTGCGGCGGCTCAAGACCTGCTGTGCCAAACAGTGAGGGACACGGCGGTTGACCTAGCCATCTTCAGAGAGCCATACCGACCAAGGGAGTCTACTGGATTCATACTGAATGCCACCAAAAAGGCCGCGCTATGGCTTTGCGACGCCACACCCATTCA